TATTTTCAGTCTTGTATATATTCATCGTCATCATACCTTCGAACACGAAGATCTAAAAACAATTGAAAAAGCGCTCAAAGGGTTAATTACGGCGAACGGTTCGAGAGACGATATCGAGAAGTGAACGTCAAGACGACGGTCAATATCGGCGCTCTGTGAAAAGTAGCCTGAGAAACGCACGCTTGATCTTTTATTCATGGCACCATCGACCAGAGTCTCGTTCTCGTGGCTCGTCCTGTCTTCCCGCGTCCAACCCGCATCCGGCTGTTACGCGTTCAGGACGGACGTGTCATTTTGCGCGATAACACTCGCGCGTTGCGACATGCGTGACATGTGAAAGGCTGATGCCCCGCAGCCACCCTCGATGCTCCATCACGTATACGATGAGAGTGCACTCTTCACAGGACATACACGTCTTTCACAAATACGGAAGAGTTGCTCGTAAATTCTCGTATCGACGGCAAAGAGAAAGCTATATTCAAGATTTAACGAGCCAATAAAATACATTAACCATTGTTTTAGTATAAAATAACGATATGCGACAACTCAAATTAAGTTAAATTTAATAGATTTAACACTTGTTATTATAAAACATTACACTGCATATGTATTTGCCACTGAAAAAATTAACCTCATATTTTGAAAGAAGTAACGCCATATGTTCGATTTAAACTTTTCTTAAGAAATACAATTTTGGATCAATTCTAAAATATCAATAAAAATGTTTATATAAACAAGACTATTAAACGAAGCATGACAGTTACAAGGACAGACTATGAGCATGTGATATCTATCGATAAACAATATGGACGGAAGAGAAGAGAAGATAACGAGCTATTCATCGGCCATTACGTTCGTGATCCAAAGCCGAGATATATCGATAATTAATTCTACGGCCTATTTGTCCCTGTGCGTTTTTGTCGGACGTGTTTGGAACACGCATTTATTGTTATTTTTTTTCCGTCGACGCGTGTAATGCATACGCTATGCGAAAAGTATTTTCAGTGCATTGCTGATTTGCGTTACAAAGGCAAGTTTTTAATCACGCACAGGCGAGTAAGCGACACATAAAAAAAAAGCGTATGAATTTTGTTCTACGGTGGCAAAATAACAATTTTTGAATTCAGATACGGAAATAATTTGTAACATAATAGTTTTTAACATCAAATACGAAATAAACAATGAGTAAATTTTATAGTACAGCAGCAATGGTATCCGGACATATCCTGCTCCATTCAGATACACAAATATTTTGACACGTTCTTCTGCGAAAATAAATCTTTGTCGAGAATTACCTTTGTTGAATATTTCCGTTGAAATAAGAATCATCAGAGATGAAAGAATTATAAATATCTCATATTCGCGCATATCAGCGTCACAATTATTCTTATAATAGTCCTTCATTTGAATTCAATCCCGTGAATATTCAATCAAATTTTATTCACGTTAAAGAGATAATAATGCAATTAAAAGCTCCGCGTTCGTATTTCAAAAAGATATCAGAAGCGCAGTCGTCGACAATTAATGACAGAGAGCGCAATGGAAGGGAAAAAGGGGCGATAGAAAGTTGAAGGAGGGACGAGGCGATGAATTACAACGTGTTCGACGCATACCGAAAGGGTTTTTAATGAAAGATCGTAATGAAAGGGTCTCGAACGTGCGAACGAGGATTTCCCAAAACTTCGTAATCTCCCCTCTACACGCAGCTTTTTCCACACCGACGACAATGGGCGCGCGAATGCGTCACTACCACTCGTTATTCGCGAATTATTTATTCTACGCCCGTCAATATTGAATTTGCCCCTATTATTGAAGCATCCGGCTGGTAATTCGCTTCAACGCGCGCGTCGCTCGTAATCGCCGAATCCGCTTAATTTCATCAGAATTGGCAAATCGAAATACGGTAGGAAACCTCGCATCTCCGAAAAACGGCGTCACTAATTCTTCCTACAATTTATAAATGTCTACACTTTCTGTAGACATTTAAAATTTTTTAGTATTTAGTCAAAACACTATAATGTTATTTTACCTTGCAAAAGCTAAATCTAATAATACAAGATTTAAAAATAAATTGTAAAAAATTGTCAGTTCTCCAATGCAATAACATATAGAATAATAAAATAATGAAATAATACATAATAGCAAAAATATAATTTACCTTTGTTTTGCATGTAATGTTGATTACGACAGCTTAAGCTGTAATTTATTCGACGTTATAACAGCTTTTAATGGACACATGTAAAATTTTGCAGGAGTTCGAAAGTGAAATATTACATAATTCTCACAATATTGTTATTTCGAATAATGCGTATGCACATAAACTATTATAAATATTGATTTTTTGTGAGAATGACTGCAAAAATACACTATTTAGCAATTATTGGAGAAATTACAGCTTATGGCCATTTTTTGTATGGTCATGATAAACATTTACCGTATATATTGATATATTAAACATACTTTATAAAAAATGATCTATAATTATTGCATCAGCAAATAAAAAATACACAAACATGTATTTTATAATATTTATGATGGTAATTTCATAATAAATGGTAATATTTACATTTTCATTAAATTATATAAATTATAATTCACATTCTCCATTTTATTATCGCTAAACATGACTAATAATATCTAATTGTAAGACAAATAATGGAGAATTATCCATCCATAATATATTTGTATTTAAATTTATATGAAAATGTATTATAAATTTATACTCGTTGAGCTTAACAACTATATTTATTTTTTTTATGTATTCTTTTATTTATAAGAAAACAAGAACGTTTCATTATGTTAATATAACAACCAGCATCGATTAGCGATAGTAATGTGTCTCGAACTCGATCGCTGTCATTTAATAAACAGTGTGGCATACATGATAATCTAATATACGATATTCTCCAAATATCTTCAAAGTTGCACGCCCGCCAATTCCCCATCCCTCAATATCAGCCGAAAGTTTGGCCATTACTTCTAAAATTTGTGCCACAAAATACAAACATTAAACGTAAAGTCGCTCATCATTGTGCAACGTCAGCCGCATGACAATGGATATTCATCTTTTGTACTGATATAAGATGCGAAAAAGTTGACGAAGGTAAAGAGATTGCGTCGCAAGAGAGGCAAGGGGCTGACGTTAAAAATTAGACATTTCATACCAGACCCACAATCTTCCCACAAAGATTTCATTCTCTTTGCATGAAAAAGGAAACGGTGTTGTTGAATTCAATTTTTTAAATAATTCACAGCTTCCTTCTAGCAACAATGGGCGCGAGATAACCGTAACGAAAAAGAAGAACTCGAAAGTATTCTCTTACATAAGGTACAATATATAATGCGATATCTTATTGTACGAATAGTACCTAACGATTCAGGGGGATTGAATAAAATATCTGCGATAAATATAGATTCGCGATAGTGGGACTTTCTCGCTGACGCATAAGAATATCTTGAGATTCTGCGGAAGATCTATTTCTATCTTGGTGACATTTTCCATAAATAACCGTCGATGTCTATCTTTGAAGTCAACAGAGCGAGACTCACGCAATATATTTCTAGCAAAGCATCGCGCCGGATATTTTAGAAGATCTGTCAAGCAGATACTTCTGTTCCTATTGCTTGTGGAAGCATCGCGAGGTTGAAAATTTAATCGAGTGCCAGCAAAGTAATACATACGGATCTAGGTCGTTTCGGTAAAGGCGGTCGTGCACTTTGCCAGGATGCGAATAAATATTGCAAAAAGGTTGCAGGCGTCTCTAGAATTTTATTTTTTTTTTGTTTTATTTATTTTATTTTGAATTTAATTTGCAGCTCTATGTTCCTTGTTTGGTAACTAAAAGACGGAATAATATGAAATTCGGGGTAAGAAATGTGAGATGCTGTGTTTTATGAATATGGTAATCGACTGACTCGGTAAAATCTGGGTTGGTTTGTAAAACTGCGCGTAATACAACGTATTAGAATAAGTAATAATGCATGTACGCATAGAGAAAAGAACGTCATAATAAATTTTCATTATATATTTCCTACACATTATGTATTCGTGCATATATTATTTGATATTCATCTGTATCTACGCTGTAAGAATTATACATGTAAAATTATAACAATTATAATGAGTAGTAATTTTGGAACCCATTATTATCAGTGTATGTATACGTAAAATAAAAGGCACAACTTGCAAATAAAATTATTCTTTATATTAGGTAATTAAGCAATTTGTAAAAGTAAATTACAATTAAAATAAAGTTTGTAGAAATATTTAAACATTAATTTTCCAATAAATTACAATTTTTCTATTACTGCTATGTAAAAACTGCAAATATAATGTGTGCGATTAATTATCATTACTTTACATAACGTTACAAAAATTGACAAACTTATAATCATATTGTATATATA